TAAATCAAAAGCCAGAGCGAAGCCTGCCAGCAACCTGGAAATCAAATTGTGTCAGGGAGAAGGGCCGTGTGGAAAATAGATGAGAAGGGCACTGAACAAGAGAGAAGAAAGATGAGCAACTCTTACAGAAATTAATGAGAGGCAGAGGAGGCCCTGAGCCACAGCCTAAATTTGCCAAGTCTTGTACTGCTTAAGGATAGACTAGCGTTTCAGAGAGTTAAATAACATATTGGCCGTCCATCTCCACTTCCTTCTTAGTGCATTTACCACTTTCAAAACTGGGCTTCAGGCCCTGGAAGAAACTAGGGAGAGGAAGAGCAGGCCTAGTAATTCTGATGAGGATGGAAGCTTCCATCCATAGTTCCAATCCTCCATCTGACATCAGTCCCAAGAGCTCAATCACTAATGCCCACATAGCCCACCAAACCTCAGTGAGCCGAGCTATGTTATCTTGTTCAAAGAGATGGCCCAGGTTAAAGCAGGGTGTACAAGCACTGACACAGAGTGGGGGCCTCCATACACAGAGCCTGCCATTGTTAGAAAAGTAAGAACGCGGGGAAGTTGTTTCTAAAACTCTTCATTTCATCTAGGAGGTTCAGGTGATTAAGTCTTTCTCTTTTCTCAAAACCCCTGACCCTCCACCCTCCACCCCTACAAGCTCCATGCCAAGGATTTAACCAACCATGGATTGAAAATATTTGGGGAAATAAATGGAGCATTTTAAAAAAAAAGTGTATGTATGGAAAAATCATAATGAAAACCCCTTATATAACAAATGTACATTAACTCAAGAAAAAAGAAAACAAAGACAAAAGAATTTGGCATTCTGAGTGTTATGCTGAATCAGGGCAATGCAGTGATATGCCAGTAGTATTTGCTTTGCTTTTTTCCAGCAGTACTTGGCGATTGTACTCATGCATGCTAGGCAAGCGCTGGACCTCTGAACGGCGGATCACTGAACAAGACTCCCATCTCTACATTAGAAGCCATCAGAAGGGATTAAAGGTACAGAAGAGGATGTGCATGGGTTATATACGAGGAAATCAAGCATCCATGGATTTTTTGGTATCTGCGGGGTAGATATGAAGGGTGACTGGACCCTACTTCTTGTTCTTATGGTTTGGATGTGAAATAACTCCCTCAAAAATCACTCTTGTGCTGAAGGCTTAGTCCCCAGCCGGTGGCACTGTTGCAAGGTGATTGGATCATGAGGGCTCCGCTTCATCAACGGATTAATCTAGTGATAAGTTTATAGCTGAAGGAGTTATAAAGAGGTGAGGCCTACCTGGAAGAAGCAATCATATTCCCTTTGAAGGTATATCTTATTCCTGGATACTTCACTCTCTCTCCCACCCTCCCTTAAACCCTCCCTCTCTTTCACGGCTCCTGTGAAGTAAGGTAACTAGCTCTGCCCTCTGCCACAATGCGCAGCTCAACACAGACCCCAGCAAATGGGTCCCAGCAAGCATGGACCAAAATCTCGGAAACCATGAGTCAAAATGAACCTTTCTTGCATTTCAGTTCTTCATGTTAAGTACTTTCTCACAGAAAGGCAAAGTGACTAATGTTAATAAGCAATGCAACATTACTCCAACTCCTGTGCTCTGATGGAGTGAAAACAAACATTAGTCACTTTATTGTGACTTGATTGCTTCTCAGCCAAACCTCCAGGCCTCTGAAGTGAAGTGAATCTTAATGACAGCTGTTTTCCAGGGAGAAACTTTGGTTGAGAGTGGGGAGCACTTTGATGAATCTTTTGGATCCTGGATCCTGTGCATCATTTGCAGTTCCTGATATGATTCAGGGAACAGCTACAACATGAATCTATAACTATACAAATACCTATGGTTTTATGGATGAACTTCTTTTCTATTTCAAACCTTCATTCTGCCTACTAGCAGAAAGTTAATCTAAGCCAATTTAGCATTGTATTCCTGCTCTTGCCTAAGTTGTAACCCAATAGTAGAGGTAGTCAATGGCTGTGGTGGCCACTGGATTCCTTTCTTCCAAACACACAGAGGCATATTCTTCCTCAATATACTTGAAGCTTGGGGTGGCCACCTGAGTTGCTTTGGCAAATTGCAGAAGTTTCAAATGCTAATTCATACTTTGCATTTTGGTTTCTTTTGTCTTCCCTCCACCACAGTGCCTAGCAACTTCTCATAAGGATCTCAGCTAGGGACAGATGCCACACCTGAGCCTTCAGCTGATCTGTAGCAGAAGTCTTTGTTGTTTGAACCACTGAGCTTTTCTTTTGTTATTTATGTTTTTCCTGTATTCACAGACTCTAGCATGCCTAAAGGATGCAGGTGTTAGCTTTGTATTACTATAACAAAATGCCTGAGATAATCAACATAATAAGGGGAAAAGCTTATTTTGGTTGATTTCAGTGCTTTCAGATCCTGGTAGGTTGGCCCTATTGCATTGTGCCTATGACAGCACAGTGCATCTCAGCAGTAGTGCAGGCAAAGGGGCTGGGAAGGTGGCTCAGTGGTAGAGCGCTTGCCTTGCATGCTCGAGGCCCTGGGTTCGATTCCTCAGCACGACATAAGCAAAAAGAAAAAAAAAAGCCGGAAGTGGCGCTGTGGCTCAAGTGGTAGAGCGCTAGCCTTGAGCTGAAGAGCTGAGGGACAGCGCCCAGGCCCAGAGTTCAGGCCCCACGACCGGACCCAAAAAAAAAAAAAAAAAAAAAAAAGTGCAGGCAAAGGTGGCCCCATTTGTGTCAGATGGCCAGAGGGAGTGGGAGGGTCAGGGCCAGGTCCCAACATCCCCTTTAAGAGCACATTCCCAATGACCTAACTTCCTCCAATGAGGCTCCACCTCTTAAAGGTTCCACTGCTTCCCAATAGCTCCAGAGGTTGATGACCAAGCCTTTAACACTTGGGCCTGTGGAGGACATTGCAGATCCAAACTGTAACAGAAGCCATGTCACCCATGCAAGATGTCCTTATTATAACTTGTGATTTCACACACTGTTTCTGAGCCCTTTTCAGAGGACAGGGGCCAGTTTTAGTATTAGACAGGGCCATGAGAAACTATGTGGCATTCGGGCCCATCTGCTCAGATATTTAATAAGTTCCCTGCTATTTTACCAGAGAAAAGCATCTTGGCTGAAGCTTCCCACCATATCTATCCTCCTCCAGGGGACCCTGGCTCGCCCCTTTTACCAAGTCCCCTCAACAGTTGCTCTGTGCTCCCTTTTCCTGAAAGTCCTACTTGAGTACTCCTGCCACTAAACCTGGAAAATCTTAATGTCACCATAGGAAGCCTTGTTCTGACTTACTAGCTGCTTCCCCTAAACTATTACCGCTGGCTTGTATTCGTTCCACCTCCAAACTGCTGAGCTTTGAAAACTCACAAGTCAAGAACTGCATCTCGGGGTCTGAGTTCTGCTGGATCCTCTATTCCTTTTAAGCAATGAATGAGGAATAAACTCAGCTTTCTGAATGGAACAAGGATCAAAGAGATGGAGTGGAATGTGGAGGGAGTGGCAACTGATATTTCAAAATGTTGTGATGTACATAAGTATTTTGTCCAATGATGAGAGTTAAAAACTGCCTCACTCAGGCTGGGAAGGTGGCTCAGCAGTAGACTGCTTGCCTGGCATGCATGAGGTCCTGGGTTCCATTCCTCAGCACCACATAAGCAGAAAAAGCCCGAAGTGGTGCTGCGGCTCAAGTGGTAGAGCACTAGCCTTGAGCTGAAGAGCTGAGGGACGGTGCCCAGGCCCAGAGTTCAGGCCCCACAACTGACAAAACAAAACAAAACAAAACAACAACAATCAAAAAGCTGCCTCGCTCAAAGGAACCCAGCCACTGGCCTTTTAAGTATCATGTAACCTCAGTGGGCCCATTCGAATATGTCCTTGTCATAATGGTCATGCTTGCAACACTTCCTTGTGGGAAAGGATCTTGGATAAGGTATCTCGGCTAGAGACAGTAAGACCTTGAGAGCCAAGTCCACTTATTCAAAGCTCTCTACTTTGAGAAATCAATACCTGCAGGAAATAACTACCCAACTGTAATAATCATCATCTCACCTTACTTAAAGTTCCCTTTCCATTTCAGAATGTACAGTCTCATGCCAGCCCTTGAGATCTTGACGAGGATTCCCTGTCTGCCCTGAGCACATTTGAAAACCCCAAGTTACACATATAGATCTCATGGGTCTCCATGAGAAAACACAGCATAATCAAAGTCAACATCTGAGCAGCTATGATCTGCAATCACCAGCAAGGTCTGGAAGCTCTTCCTGCAGGTGGTGTGGTAAAAGCAATTCACAACATAGCTCATGGCACCACCTGATAACATTCATTTTGCTAACCCAGGTCTCCAGCACATTTCTGATTATGGTACATGAAGACATGAACCATGTTAGGAGCTAGTGGCTCACTCCTACAATTCTAGCTACTGGAGGATGGCTCATCAGGCCACTGGGAAGAGCAGCTTTTTTATGACTTTTTTTTGCCATAAGCAAAAAGCCGGAGAGGCTGAGTTCAAACCCCAGTACTGGCACACATACACACACACACAAAGTCAATCAACTCGATTCTCTTCCCCCCCCCCCCCCCCCCCCCCCGAAAACTCACAGCCTTGATAAACAAATCAGTGTGTCCTTCACTGGGACCCTCCCAAGATGCACCCAGCCACCCACGAGGAAACCAGGATGGAGCCTAGGCCACCACAGAGCACAGAGCCTGACAGGAGGCGGAGCATTGGGGGCAAAGCAGGAGTTCCAGGACAGGGCTTCAGGAAGAACTTGCATAAGACATTGGGGGTGGGTCAGCCCGGGAAAGCAGGTGTCCTAGGGGCGGGGCTTCGGGGGAGGGGCTTTCTGGGGGCGTGTCTTCTTGGGCGTGGCTTTCTGGGGGCGTGTCTAGCGGGCGGGGCTTCTCGGAGTGGCTGGAATGAGACTCCGGGGGCGGGGCGCGGGGACCCGGCGCGGGGGTGGAGCAGTCATCGCGAGGTCTGGGCCTGGGAGCCTGAGGCTCACCGCCGGGCCCCGTCGCTGCTGTCGGGCCGGGGGCGGAGCCTGCGACCAGACGGGATCGGACGGCACCTTGGCGGTTCTCTAGCCGCCATGGCCACCGTGGGCGGCCTGCGCGCCCTGCCCAGATGGCTCCTGCGCGGCCGGTGGACCCCGCTCCCCGCCGGCCTGTGCAGCCGGGGGCTGGCCGGGCCCGGGAGGCCGGAGTCGGAGCCGCGGCCCACCAGCACGTGGCAGCGGGACGGCATCAGGTCAGCCCGCAGGCCGTGTGAGGGCTCCCCGGGGTCGGGGGGGGTCAGTACGCAGGGGGTGGGCACGCTCAGAGGAGGCCTGGCTGTGCGCGCCGCCGCCGCCCGGGGTCACCACCCGGGGTCACGGCCCGGCAGTTACCCGCCACGGCCGCCTCTGGCTGGTGAATGTCTTCCGGGGAGGAGTCCCTGTATATCCAGTCTACAGGTGTCCCGTGCCTGGACAGGAGCAGGGCCCACGGGACGATTGCCAGAGGAGCCGCCTGGGATGGGCCCCAGTGGCCCCCTGAATCCCCTAGGCACAAAGCCCAGTCTCTTGAGGACTGGAGGCCCTCGTGGACAGCCCGGGAGGGCGCCCACCGCTGCCACAGCTTGGGAGGAAACACCTGCCACGCCTGGCCAGGCTCCAGGGTGGAGGCCGGCTGCGCTGAGCTGCTCCTGAGCTCACCCTCCGGGCAGGGGTGGGGGCAGGTAACCAGGCAGGCCGGGGACACCCTGTCCTGAGCACTGTCCTTCCGCACCAACAACAAACCTACTCAAACAGACCCTAAGTGATTGGAATAAGGTTGAAGAGCTCCCAGCCCTGGGCAGAGCCCAGCCGTGATGTTTCTTGGCCAGGGCAAGGGTACAAAAGGAGGTACATCTCCATATTTAAGAGTTACCAAGCAATCAAGTAATGTTGTACTGTCACACCTACCAACTGTCCCATCTGGGATCAAGAAGGCCATATCTGACTTTTCAGTCCTCACTCTGCACCTTGGTGGTTTCAAAAACAGAAGGAGTAGAGCTAGCCTCTGGCCTGGGGCTTTTCCAAGCTCTCCCAGCCTCCTCCCATCCCCTGCACGCCTCCACCCTTCCTGCTGCCCTGCAAGGGCTCAGCACGCAGATCTACTGACGTCCTGTCCAGCGTGCCATGCCCCATCTGTCACCATGTTCTGCAGACTGCCTGGCCACACTGGGGTGTCCAGGGCCTCATGTGCAGTGTGTTTTGGAATGGAGGTACAACTCTCCCCTTTGGGCTCCCTGTCATGAATAGGGACACCCCAGGAGGCAGGCCAGAGCCCTGCTCTGATAGCTGGGCCCACACTGGGAACTTTCTTATCCCCCTCCTTTTTGGGTTTCTGTTTTTTTGATGGTACTAGGTTTTTAGTGTAGAGCCTTATGCTGACTAGGTTGGATCTCTACCACCTAACCACAGCTCCAGCCCTGTTTTTTGCTGATTATTTTTAGGATAAGGTCTTTTCCCCCCAGGTATGCATCTGAGCCTCTATCTGCCAACCAGGATCATAGGCACATGCCATTGTCCAGCTCCCCTTTTGCCTTTACTAGGTGGTACCCCATTCTCAGCCTCCCAAGGAACTAGGATTACAAGTGGAACCTGCTGGCAGCTGCTTCTTGCCTGTGTTTAAAGGATGGTTCTGCTCTGTAAACTGGTCATAAAATAAGTCTAGTGGCATGCACCTGTAATCCCAGCACTTGGGAGACTAAGACAAGTGGATCCTGAGTTCAAAGCAAGCCAAGACTACAGACTGGACTACACAATGAGACCCCCTTGTCTCAAAAAAACAAAACAAACAACAAAAAGTCAGAAACCTGGCTCCAGGGGCACCCAGATGGCAGACTGAGTCCTCTAGAATTAAACACGAATCGGTAAGGGAGGTGAAAGGGACCCACCTGTCATGAATGCTAAGAGCCATGTAGTGGGCTTGAGTGCCCTTTCCAAAGCTGTGTCCAGAACAACTATGGTGTTACATCCGAAGGGCCAGTTTTGAGCTGAATGCTGTGCCTAGCACTTGGCACTTAGCGCCCCCGATTATTACAGTGACTTACAAGATAGACACTATTACCTCCATTCACAGTGAGGAGTCAGATTCAGAGAGGTGACAGCCCACTGGTAGTGTGGCCAGGAGTTAGGAGAGCAGAGCCCTCCTCTGCTTCCAAAGCCACTCTCACCCTACTGTGCCATCTCAGTGTCCTGCTGTGCCACCCTGATGCCATGCCCATCTACCGTGGTCAGTGGAATTGGAGTGGGAGCTTTGAAACACATGCACTCAATCAGTGGATGCTTCCTGACTGTCACCTGTGTGTGGACATGGCGGTCCCTCACTTCATTGACTTTCTGGAAGTTTACAGTGGTGGTCTTCAGACAACGCATCAGGGCACTTGCTCTATCCTTACGTCACATGCCCCCACGGTGGCCTCATCTGAAAGAAAACTTCTCTTTCAGATGTGAGGTGTTGGTGAAGGTCTGGGTACAAAGCAAGCTTTGAACCTCAACAGCCACCGGAAGAGCTCAGTCTCTCCCAGAGGGTTCGCCGAGGAGCAGAGTAAGGCAGGGAGAGACATCTAGAACCACTTTCAGGTTCTGACTTAGGCCACCAAGTGGCAGCTCAGAAGAGAGGAGCGATTTGGGAGGGGGGGGGGGGAGAGGAGGGAGGGTAAGAGGTAAAGTTTGAGGCCAGCCAAGGTGGAGCATAGGGGAAAACGCAGACATCCAGAGCTCAGGACCGCACACAGGGAGCCTTCTCACCACAGCCATGGGTGAAGTTGCCTGGGAGGAATATGTAGAGTGGGAAGAGGGCAAAGATGGACGCAGAGGATCGTGGGCACAAATGTCAGGAAAAACATCCAGAGAAAGAAACCTGGAAGAGAAGGACTATGTTCCCTAAGGAGACAGATCCAGATGGCCAGTGGATTCGGCCCTGGCAGTTAGGAGTCAGCCAGTGAGATTCATTTGGTGGAGGGCTGGGAGGGGCAGCCAGTCTCTGGAGTTGATCGGTGAACTCAGCAATAGGGTGAAGGAGAGGAAAGCTCCAACAGTATGCAAAACATGATGCATCCCACACAGAAACAAGGCACTTCACACGGCAAGGGCATTTAGACCCAATCCTTTTGCGCAGTTTTGCCTAAGGCTTTAGAATGTAATTTGGGCTCAGGTCACCTGTGGAGAGGCGGCTCTTTGTGATTGCCACAGCAGGCACTCTCCTGGTTCTATGGAAAGCTTATAGACAGGTGTGTCACGCCACCTCCCCGACAAATGGAGGTTCAGTGTCCAGCTGCAGATGAGCTCTGCAGCCACCTGCAAACAGTAGCAACGCTGACATGGTTTTCCAAAGAAAATGGTTGTTCTTATCACATTGAAATAAATTCAATCATCAAAGTTGTTTCCCTCTTCCCCCCACCAAACAAAGCAAAGAAACCATGGCACAGCACGCGATCCTAGCCAGCTGAGTTGACTACATAGCAATAAAGAGGAAGGCAGACGCGTGTGTAGGTGGAGACTGACTGGGAGTATAAAATATAGAACAATAATCTGTGTTTGGTTCATTGCCCATTTCGTAAAACAGCAAAAAATAAGACATTTTTATGGAAGGCAGTAAGAGCATAATGCAGGTTGTTTTATTCAGAATATGAGATACTTTAAGGTCGTGAACAAGCCTTCTGAATGCCTTTGGTAATGATATGTCCAGGAGAGATCTTTCACTGTATGGTTTGTCCTTCAGCAAACCTCCCATTCTTTTACAGAATCACAGGAGGCCACTGGGCACTGGTGGCTCATGCCTGTTATCCTGGCTACTCAGGAGGCTGAGATATGAGGACCAAGGTTAGAAGTCAGTGCGGGCAAGAAAGTCCATGGAACTTTTCTCCAATTAAACACCAAAAAGCTGGAAGTGGAGCTGTGGCTCAAGTGGTAGAGCACTAGCCTTGAGTGTGAAAGCTAAAGGAGAGAGTCCAGGGCCCAAGTTCAAGACCCAGTACTGGCACAAAAAAAAAAAAGCAAAGGGATTACAGGAGGTAATTATTGTAAGATAAAAATGCTGTCATATATACGTACTGGTTGATGCACTTCGCTACCTTTGGGGTGAATGGGAGGAGATTTGGGGGAGTATATTTTACTCTTGGTTCCTTTCCTGACCTCATCTGAACAAGGCCAGGAAGTAAGTGAAGGTAGGCAGTGTTTGTCAGATCCACTGGTGCCTGCCACTGTCACCTGATTTACATCCTCTCTAGGCAGAGGTAACCTGGAGATAGCAGCCAGGTTCTGATGGAGATGGGGGTCTGAGGTGGGGGGGGGGGGGAGTGGAGAGAGGGGAAGAAGGAAGAGAACCAAATCAAAGAGTAAGGAAGAAAAACCAGCCTGCCTCTTGAGTCGTCTTTTCCTTGTTTTGACTTAGCTGCAACTCCAGATTGTTGACAGACCTTGTAAATCGGTAGCTTTCTTCTTGCTTTTCTAATAACTCCCCAATTAGAGGACTTGCAGGGGTCCCTGCTTGTTTTGGCTGGTGCATGACCCGGGGACTATAAAATGTTTTTCACAGGAACATTGTGTTGAGCAATCCCAAGAAGAGGAATGCGCTGTCACTCGCCATGCTGAAATCTCTCCAAAATGACATTCTTCACGAAGCGGAAAGCAAAGATCTGAAAGTCATTGTCATTTCAGGTATTTATCTGATTTCTAGCCTGTGTTCTGTAGGGCCTAGAAGAAGTTTCTCAAGAATTCTTTAGTTAATGGGAGCATCCCCTTACTTAACCGGAGAACTCATCTAAACTCTTTTAAAGAACATTTGTTTTGGAAAACTTGTGTCATTGAGGACTTGGTCCTGACACTGTGCACATTGTGCAAGTTGTGGCAAAGAGGATGAAAATGAAGCTCTTCCTTTTTGGTAGATATTAAACATGGGGGCATTTTGCTGTGCTGGTCTCATTAAAATCACAATCAGATGGGGCTAGAGCTCAGTGTACAGCACTTGTCTAACATGAGTGATCCTTGGCACCTCAAAACAAAGCAAACAAAACATGTATCAAGTTTTTCATGGACCTTGTAAAATGGGATTAATAGTTAACCTTTTGGTAAGTGGTCAGCCAGCTCCTGCCTCTTCGGCATTTGATGGATGTTTCTTTGTTGTTCTTCCAAGGTTTGCCCCTGATACCTGCATACTTTCTATTTCTCTCTCTCTCTCTTTTTTTAATGTGCCAGTTCCGGGTCTTAAACTCAGGATCTTTACACGCTTGCCTAGCCTTTACTCTTAGGGCTAGTGCTCTCCCACTTGAGCCATACCTACTTTTCCAAAAGTTTGCTGGGTAACTGGAAATAAGGGTCTCTCTAACTTGTCTGCCTGAGCTGGCTTCAAACCTCAATCCTCAGATCACAGCCTCCTGAGTAGCTAGGATTACAAGGGTGAGCCATTGACACCCAGCTTTCAGGCTCATCTTTATCGGTGCCAGAAGTGGGCATATTTTGCCTTTGTTTTTATTCAAAGAAGAATGTTTATTAGAGTTTCTTTTCATGTCATGCTAGGGGTGCTATAAATAATGGTAAGGTCAGCATCTTCAAGCACTCCACCCTGAGAACATAAGGAATGATCCTCTGTGATACCTTGTTTGGTTGTTGGTTTAATTTAAGGACCTGAGTTTTCTGGAGTCAGATACTCTCAGTAGTGCCTTCTTAGCAATGGCTAAGCAGATTTTTTTTTTAACTTAAACAGTGAAGGAAAAGAAAACAGAACTAGTAGGACATAGCAGCTAGGTGAAGTGTAACCTGGTTACAGCAAAACCCACTAAGTTAACTAGCCGATTTCCTCGCTTGTAAAAAGTCAACTACCGCAAGGCTGAGAGTGGTGGTTCATGCCTGTCATCCCAACTGCAACAGGAGGCAGATGTAGGAAGATGGAGGCTGAGGTTGTTGGCCCAAGCAAAAAAAAAAAACTCAAGGCAAAGCACTCACAGCTTCAATCTGAAAGCCTTGCTACTTGGATGGTAGAAATCAGGAGGAATGCAGTTACACACTAACCCAGGCAGAAAGGTAGACCCTGTCTCAAAAATAACCAGAGTCAAAAGGGCTGGGGGGCATGGCTCAGGGGGTAGAGCATCTGCCCAGCAAGCATAAGGACCTGAGTTCAAACTAGGGGGAAAAATGGTGGGGGTGATGGGAGGAGAGGGGTATGAGAAAATGTTATCAGTGTATCCTCAGAATGGCTTTCTGTTCTTAGTGACAGTGATACCAGCCACACCTTTAATGCTCTCCTTTATAAAAGAATGACCTGTGCCAGCTGGTTCTGTTCACTCTGACCTTCCTGATTCACCCCTATGCCATGCATGGTGGCCTGGTGGATTTCAGTGGACCTAAAGGAGTCCATTTACTTAGGCTACACTGAGTCCAAAATCAAGCAAGAGAGTAGAGGGACAGCTGTGTAAAACACACCTTCTCCCTGGCCCGGCCCTCTTGTGGCACTACACCCTGACGTGAGTTCCCAGCAGGGAGTCTCAGGGCGTAGGTGCTTCCCTCCCTGGCGTTTTCATCACAGTGTTCTACCAGACCTGGAGTTACTCCAGAGTTACTCCGGTCAAAAGCGGGCAGTAACGTCCGCCCCGTGCCAAAAGCATAGATGGAGTGGGTTATGGACTCTGCCTTGGAAATGAGCCTCCCCCTTCTGCCTGCTAACACCTTTTCCTTCTCTTTTTCCACTGGAAACATTGGCAGCCGAGGGGCCTGTATTTTCCTCTGGTCATGATTTAAAGGAACTGACGGAGGAGCAAGGCTGTAATTACCATACTGAAGTGTTCCAGACATGTTCTGAGGTAAGCCAGGATGAAGGGCAGCAAACAGTATAGGTAGGAAGCCATCATTGTTTTACATTCTGGGCTTAGCTTCCTGCTTTACAGATAAGGTTTTGCCACAAGGCTTCGCTACAGAAAGCTCTGTGGCTCCCTGGCAGGTTCTCCATCCAAGCAATTCCTTTGCTTGTATGTTAACAAGTGGCTGATGCAGAGACTCAGATCTGTAATCCTAGCTCTTTAGGAGACAGGGATTGGGAGGATTGAAGTTGTAGGCCAAAGAAGTTCTGGGCGACCCTATTGCAAAAAAAGGAACTGGGCATGGTGGGGCACACCTGTCATCCCAGCAGGATGCTAAAACACAGGCATCACCATCCAGGCTGGCAAGGGCAAAATGTAAACACCTATCGCACAAATAACCAGAGCAAAACAGTCTGCCTTGTAAGCACAAAGCCCTGGATTCAAACCACAGTAATTAAAAAAAAAAAAAAAAAAGTGCCCATGGGGCTGGGTTTGTAGCTCAGTGGTAGAATATTTGGCTGACATGTGCAAGGCCCAGATTTGATTCTCAGGTTGTCTAACACACACACACACACACACTTGTCAGATTCTCAAGATAGTCCACACACTCCTCAAAAAGAAAAGTCTATTGTATAATAAACAGAGTAGCTTTTAAATATAGTCATGAGAATAGGGATTTTACCAATGAGGATCGGTTCTGAGTAAATATGTGGTTAGCTAATTTCCTCATTGGAAACATCACCAAGTGAACTTACATGTATACATATCTAGACAGCATAGCGGCTCCACACTCGGCTACGTGGCTTACACACAGCAGAGCCTAACATATCTATAGTCCTGCTGAACAAAACTCCATCAGATTCAATCCAATACAAGAGACGGTGGTACAAGTACAAGAAGAGGTGACCTTGAGCTGTCTGAGGCTGTCAGGTGCCCTAACAGAATACATTTCTTTTTGTAGGAAACTTTCTTTTTAGTAAGTGGAAGGACCACACACTGAGGAGCTGAGGTTATAGCTGAGTGGTGAGCATGTTATTTAGCATGCTTGAGGCCCTGGGTTCAAAGCCTGGCACCAAGTAGTATAGTGTAGTACAGGTATCAAGGACTGCCACCTATTATCCTTGTTGAAAATGATGTGCTGTACATAATCACATTGTTATACCTCCTTATGCCTGGCAACACAGCAGATTTGCTTACCCAGCATCACCACAAACAATGCAGCAATAATTGCTGGCACCATTGGCTGACACTTAACTTGAGGTACTCAAGAGGGTGTGATCTGAAGGATAGCAGTCTGAGATCAGCCTGGGCTGAAAAATCCAAGAGATTCCATCTTCAAATAACCAGCAAAAAAAACAACCAGGGATGGAGGCATGGCTCAACTGGTAGAGTACCAGCCATGAGCAAGCAAGAGTGCAAGACGCTGAGTTCAAGCCCCGGTACCATAGGAATTTTTCCCCTCCATTATAATCTTGGAGGAATGCCCTGGAAAAATGTAGTCTGCACTTGACTAAAACGTTACTCAGTGGGTGATTGGATAATTAGTTATTGTAGAGAAAAGCTAACTAATATCAAAGGTTTATTAGTGTAAAAGCTAGATTTCTAAGGCAAGAATCTTCAAATCAATGAAGGTCATTTTCTCTGAATTGCTGTCTTGATTTGGAAAAGCCCAGATGTAGTGCATATCTCCACTCCCTCCTTGCGAAGGTCCAAAGAGCAATAATTTAGAAATTGAAGTTGCCATAGCAACACAATCTGTTTAGTGTATCATAAAAAAAAAAAGTAAGCTGCAAAAATAAGTTAGGGTTCTGACAATTTATGGTGGCAGGGGTCTCTGCATGCCAGTGGCTCTGTTTAGGGAACTTTGTCGCTAGTGAGGACAGCGGGGTGTCCCCCACCTCCCCATTTTAATAGAATTGGGAGAGTAGGCAGGGTTGCAATTTGAGAAGTAATTACTAAGGAAATTGCCTTCAAGTCCCTTTCCTACCTTAATTTTTCAAGGAAGCATCAGATACCAATTTCAGACTTTAACATGATGGCTTCCCATAGACACAGGAGAAAAGAATTATTTGTGAAGCATTTTGGTTGCTCCCCAGAGACAAAAATCTATCTGCCTGGTTCTTCCGCAGGGCGCTGGGGAAGCGGCCGGAGGGGGGAGAGGTGGGGAGGATCGCTTTCCTGACAGAGCCGGGCTCTGACCCGCTGCAACCCCTGGACTCCTTGCAGGCTGCAGGTCCTTGTGGCCCCAATGGGATCCTTCCTTGGGGTGTTTTCAGAGAAACCAAATTACAGTCTGCTTCAGAGCAGATGCTCAGTATGTGTTCGTGCCTGTGCGTTCCTTTCATCCTTCTGTCATAGACCTGATGAACTAACACATATGAAAAGAGTCTGGTCACAGATACTGCTGTGCTTCCCTGTGCTGTGCTTCATCCTGCAGGTGATGATGCTGATCCAGAACCACCCGGTCCCCATCATCGCCATGGTCAACGGCCTGGCCACGGCTGCTGGCTGTCAGCTGGTAGCCAGCTGCGACCTTGCAGTGGCAAGCGACAAGTCCTCTTTTGCCACTCCTGGGGTGAACATCGGGCTCTTCTGCTCCACCCCTGGGGTGGCCTTGGGCAGAGTGGTACCCAGAAAGGTAACTTAAACTTCCCTCAGACCCTTTACTAGACTCTGTCCTCCGAGGTCCTGAGGTTTCAGAAAGAGCTGATTGAAAGTACCATGTGTATCAGTGTGCCCTCTTGAGTCAAGCACAGAACAGCCAGCTGCCCCCTCCCCTCCAGCTGGCAGTTTGTGAACACAGGCATTTCAATCCTGCACGCTCCTCAGTTATGACTCGCTGCTGGTTTTGACTTGCTTTCTTAGAGGCATGATACTCTGGCAATCTTATTTGATCCGAGGCACAGTTCCATGGCACTGAATGGTTGCCCATGAGGTACAGCAGCATGCTGACACAATGCCAGTAGCAAGAAGTGGGGATTGGACCGCTGGCTAACCACTTGTCCATAATCCTTCTTCTTCTGGAAAGGATTTTAAGTAGCTGATTGACTGTGTTAGGTTCACAATGGCTGGATTTCAGGAACATGAATATCTCATGAGTGGGATGCTGAATCTACCCAGGGAAGAACCATGTTACAAAGTTATCTTGTCATGAATACAGAGAAATCCATTTTTGTATACAGTTTTCTTCTTTCCTCTGACATCAGAGAATAGTATTATTCCCTTGCATGGAAGCCATCGGCATCCTTGTTCTAGCTAGCAGAAGGGCATCCTTATTCCCAGTGGGAAATCCTGAAGCAGGCAAAATCATATATGCAGCAAGTAAGGAAGTGGCTTTTTAGGGCCAGGTACGATGGCACATACCTGTTGTTCTAGCTACTTGAGAGTCAGAGATAGGAGGATGTGGTTTGAAACTAGCCCAAGCCAAAAACAAACAAACAAACAAACAAAAACAAGGGGGAAAAACCCTTATAAAGATCCTATCTCAAAAAGCAAGCTGGCATGGTTAGTACATGTCTGTAATTCTAGACTTTGGGGAGGCAAAGGTAGGATCAGGTCGGGACTCGCCAGAGAGAAAAACACAAGTCTCTATCTGAAAAAGCAAAAATGACTGACTGGGGTTGTGACTCTAATGGGTCAGTATTTCCAAAAGGAAGAGGAAAAGGAAAGGAAGGGGAAACTGCTTTCTAGAATATGTTATCTATTTTAGTAAGAACTAGAAAAACGATTAGTTTCTCACATGCCTAAGGCCTAAATGGAATGCACTCAAAGCAATCAAGCAGTCGGGCCACCAGGTTTCAGGAAGGACAACTTTATTTTGTACTGCCTCCTTGTCAGTTCATTTAAAAATGGAACTTTACAGACCAACACCCCCAACACACACATTTCTGAAAGTGGGCTCCACACTGCAGAAAGTGACAGCCTGCTAAAATGTCTTTCAACACAAGGGCTGTTTTTTGTTGGGCCAAGATAGATATTCATCTTAAATACATAGACATTTCTTACTGGAAGTACAGCTCACGTGGTAGCAGAGCCGGCCTCACAAGTGCAAGGCCAAGTCCAAACCCAGGTACTGCCTTAAAAGAACGAGAACTCAGTCACTATTAAAAAACTTTTGAAATCAAGGATTCTTAGGAACTTAACACCATATCTATCACATTTATCAAAATTTAAATTTGGCTTTGAGATTAGGAAATGTGAAAAAACTTAGGTCTTAAAGTAGCCTAAATCTCAGCGCCACCTCACATAATTGTCCAGTGGGACAAGGACACTGTAAGAACTGAGGACAGTTTTGTCAAGAACAGGCTTCATCAAAAGATGAACAAAGAGCCTTCCCGATTGTCCTACTCAGGTTAAGAATATGGTTTGAGGTGAACAGTAATGGCTCATTAGTAATGATCAGCTTATCAATAAAAGGGATTTGGTAGAGGAATGATATGTCAAAACTTAAGCCTCAGCCAGGAGTCTAGATCTACAGTACTGACCCATGTGGCCTGCTTAGGGGGGAAACTTAGGATCCATAAAGCTCTCAATCTGTATAAAAGCCTGTCATACCTGCCTGTCATACCACGCACAGGTCCAAGTACGTGCATGGCATGGATATACACCATGGTCAGCCACAGAGCCACAAGCAGGTGCTTTTGTACACTGGCCTGGACAGACAGGAAGCCAGCCCTTGTCTCAAAGGCTACCACATGTGTAGGCCTTTACTTCCCCCTGCTGGTCACTTGAGAAACTGCTTGTCCAGCCCTATTCCAGCTGGCAGAGCCTGACCACCAGTGATTTCCTCATTTCACAGTGCTTCTCTCTTTTCACACGAGTTAAATAATGCATGCCCACTGCCACATGGACTGCCCTGCCTGGTGCAGCTGCCCCCTCCCCAGGACAAGCTGACCTGACACAGAATACAGAGCCAGTGGCTGGGGGCCTGGAGGAAAACCAGAAACCTGTTCTACCTATTTCCCTATTTCTAATCTGTGTGTCTGTCCAGTCTTCTTTCCTGCTAGTCTAACTTAAACAGAGATGGCTTTCCAAGCTGGAAAGTGTGCTAGGCAGGTCCTTGCTGCTCAGAGCACTTCCCTAACTAGGGTGAAATCCAGTTTGGGGCCTGCCACACACCTGTGGCAGACTCACACTAATCGTGTGACTGGCAGGATGTGGAGAGCACCTGAGAACACAGGTGTGGGGGAGGAGTTAGAAGCCAGGACTCTACCAGCGGGCTTTCCCTCCCCAGGGGGGCCTGCAGGGCCGTGTGTGTGTGTGTGTGTGTGTGTGTGTGTGTGTGTGTGTGTGTGTGTGTGTGTGTGTGTGTGTGTGTGTGTGTGTGTGTGTGTGTGTTTTTGGGCACAGGTGTGTTCATGGCTCTTGCTTCCTGCATCTCCTCACGCCACTGCCCATGCAGACAAACACCACAGGTCTCCTGCCCCCAGTGCTCCTGCTGATAGAGGTCCACCAAGCTATGGCATTGGCACTGGGAGGCAGGGCTTTGGGTGTGGCTAGGTTAAGGTTGGAGCCCTCGTGCTGGGATTCATTCCTTTTTTAAGGGACCCCGGATGGCTGCCTTGCCTGTTTTGTCCCATGTGAGGGCCTTTGCCCCAGTGGCTGCCTCAACCTTGAAAATCCAGAGTTAGACCCCAAATTCCTGGGGTCCCATATGTCAGAAAAGAGCATGGCACAGGAACTGAGCTCTTTGGATCATCTTTGACCAGCTTCAGGGTAGACACAAGCTTTAAGAATCAGGGCAAGGAGTGAAAGGTAGGCATACTTATTAACCAGGCCTAGTCCCAGATAGCCGGGGTTGGTGACAGGTTGGCCTGGAAGTTGATTGTCTCAGGATAGGTAACGAGGGGCCTGGATGACCACACAATCTTAGACCTGGCTCTCTGAGGGTTCTAGAGAAATTGTTGTCACTGTCATCTCTTGAGGGGTGTAATCTGGCTCCCAGGAGTCCGTGTCTCCTGCTCTCCCATGCTGGGGAATGCTGTGGCCCCAAGTGATTGCCCACCTTTGGGGGTGGTCTGTCCCAGGAGGTTCACTGTTGCTTGGGGGTGGTTTCAGTCTCTCCTTGTAAAGATGTTATCAGTCGCTCCTGTCTGCCCTGGAATCCAGGGTGATTTAAAGTGACTCCAGAGAATAGCTTAGAGCAAAGACACACGAAAAGGAGGGGAATGTTACCCTTTCTCCTGTTTTTAGTTAATTTGTGAGCCCAAGTAAGGAGTCCATGCTTTGCACAATTTTCCATCCTCCGTCTATATGGTATTTTGTTACAGCAGCCAGAATGGACTGTGCCCATCCAAGAGATGGAAAGAGTAACTGCAGTACTGTCCGTGGTTCCGCCATGGGTGTGACACTGTGTGACATGCGCCGTGACCCTTCTGTCACCCCCTCAAACCTCATAGAGTCACAAATACAGTTGGAATAGAAATGTTAATATTAGCCACCACCGTTATTAGGCACTTATTGAATATCCAACACTGTATCATAAGCTCTCTGTCTATTTTCTCTAACCATCACTATAGGAGGAGAGGGGTCCCATTTGCAGATGAGGAGACAGGCTCTGAAAGGTTGTATAATTTATCAAAGGTGTTAAGTTAGTAGCTAGCAGGTGCAGGGCTGGGACTCCGGTATGCCTGACTTGAAGCCACAAGTTCTTCTTAACAGCTCATCTCACATCTGAGTTAGACTACAGCCTCAAATCCATTTCATTATGCTTGATGCAGTATCCTTGGGGGAAAAAAAAAAACAAGCATTCAATTAGCAACTTTTTGGGGTGACCCAAGGGGTGGCACCCTAAAGGCAGCATGAGCTTTTAAATAGGGAGAAGGTGGGGGTATATTCCCTTCTCTTTCATCTGAAGTCTCTGGGGATCATCCTACATAGAAACTCAAATACTAAGTAAAGCTCATGCTAATTAGTAACTGGTTTCTTTTCCTAAGAAACGTCATTTGTGTATCGGTCTTGACAAAATCCATATAAATCAATATAGTACTAAAACCTGACCCCCACCCCTCAGCCCCAGGCAGACAGGGAAGCTGCCGCTGCTCAGAGAGGAGCGTGAACTTGGTAGTATGGTAGAAAGCCAAAGGCAGGGCCAGAACCCAGTCCAGGCCTTGCCGCCCTTGACCTTGTTCAGGCAGAGCTTCCTTTCCTGAGCAATCCTAATTCTGCTAAGACTTTGTTGAGCTTCTGAGCTAAAGGCAAAGCACTGGCTTACTCATACACGGAGTGTCCTTCAGCCCACCCAAGTTTTGTCCCCAAACTGGAAGAGGATGATGGCACACCACCATTGTACTTTAATTACTAAGAAAGCCGCTGGCTCTTTTCTCTCTCCTGGTGTCCATCTAGGCCTGACCCTCAACCAGCCAGCCACCTCACCATCTGCCCAGTTCCTTCCTCCCCTTTCCTCTTGACTTCTTGTTATTGACAAGCTGACATTGGTGGGACACAGGCGTAGGTTTGAGAAGGGACTGCAGAGCAGACTCCAGGCCTGATATCCAGCAGTGGCCCCAGATAGGATTTCAAAGGCCAGAGAGGAAGATCTTCCCTCAGCCACAGGGTGGTGCAGGGCAGGGCCAAGCCCTTCTGGCTCATCAGTATCCCACTTCGCAGTAGATTCCATCACTTCACACCAAATGGAAAGAGGATGGGTGGGCAGATCTAAAAAACACCTACTGACAATGATTGGGATTTTTTTCATTGTAAGTAAACCTTGTGTAACTGATAATAAAAAGATGTTCACACCAAAAATGGTGAATCCCAGAGCAGGAGGGACTTGGCAAAAGCATGTGGTCCTTCCATTGCCTTTGGCAAGGCTGCATATAACTACGTTCTGGGAAGATGAGCAGCTTTCATCTTTTATAGTAATCTGATGGGAGGTGACGTCTGCACATAGATATCCTTGTAGCCATTTCTATTGCATCTGACATGCCAACGTGCCGCATCTCTAGTTGGCTGTTCTTCGCAGCATCTGGGAGGCAAGTCACAGTCCTGCTGAGGATGAGAGAGAAAGCTACATACTCAGGACCTGGGCTGAGGCTCCCGCTCCAGGCCCACTCCCTGCCCCTGCCCGTGGAAACATGAACCCCAAAGGACTTAACACGACCTTTGGAGTCCTGTGACTCCAAATATTACCAGACTCCAATGGGTGCTTTATAAATGTGACCAGGAGAGACAGAGGACAGGAAAAGAAAATGAGGGGGGCTGAGAAAGGCATCTACCAGAACAAGACATCAGAGAAGGGGGACTGGACCTACCGACCAATCACCAGCCTGGACCGCAAATCCCACTGCCTGGGAGTAATTAAATGCCTGCCTGTGTCTGCTAAGGGAAGTCTCTGGGGGTCATGCTACATAGAATCTTCAGATGATACAGTTTCCTGGTGCTAGCTCTGATCCATTCTGAGCTACCTTTGCAAGTCACTTGCGGTCTGATGGCTCCGAGTGATGAAGGAATCGGCAGTGGGATGACTAGGAAGGGGTGTTCTTTCATGCTACATCCGGTGTAGGGGCATGGCCACTTCCTGCCATGTGATCTACGGGAATTCCTCTAGAGTCAGCTGTGTTACCAGAAGAAAAAGAGCCCCTCGCAGGTTGTGGTGCCTGTCTCCACACACGGGTCTCTAGGGAGCTGCCCTGCCAACCATCTGTGTCCAGAGAGGCCAGTGTGAATTATAGACTGAAGCCTGGGGTGCAGCAGGCTGCAGAACTGACCCATGGAGAGGGAGGGGGCGATGCCCCTGCCTGAGGGCTTGACATCTGGCGGGTGGGGTGGAAGGCCGAGGCGCCCCCACCCGGCCGTCTCTCACCCACCTGTGACGGTCCTACCAGGCTCTGCGGTCTCTAGGAGTCACGTCTTCTGATCCCTTTGCTCCCCAGAAGGACGATCAGGCCAGTGAGCTGGCCTCCGTGGGCGTGCCTTCTTGGGGGAAGTGGCTTCTGAGGTGGTGGCAGGAGGCGGTGGCCACGCTGTGGTGACATTCACAGGGGCCTCTACTAAGATGGGCCGCTGTCCCGCACTTGGCCCTGGGAAGAGGCGGATGGAATCTCCCGCCCCAGGTGGGCCGTTGATCAGATCTGCCGAGATGCACTTCTCCTTCTGGGCTACTCGAGTGTCCTAGGCGCTCAGAAAGATCTAATCTCATCTCTGGCAGGAGGCCGGGTGTTGATGTCGAGACTGGGGCTGGTGGATGACAGGAGGAAGCGACACCTGGGTGGAGGTGCAGTGGAGTGGGGAGAGGGACATGGGAGGGCAGGGCTGTGGGATAGGAAGAATGCCTTCATGACCTGGCCTGACTCCTCCCTCAGGTGGCCTTGGAGATGCTTTTTACCGGAGAGCCCATTTCTGCTCAGCAGGCCTTGCTCCATGGGCTTCTCAGCAAAGTCGTGCCGGAGGAGCGGCTGGAAGAAGAGACCATGAGAATTGCCAAGAAGATTGCCTCCTTGAGCCGTCCTGTGGTGTCCTTGGGCAAAGCCATCTTCTACAAGCAGCTGCCTCAGGACCTTAGAACAGCCTACTGTCTCACCTCCCAGGCCATGGTGGACAACCTGGCCCTGCGGGACGGGCAGGAAGGGATCAAGGCATTCATCCAGAAGAGGAAGCCCATCTGGTCACACTGAGCCCATGTGTGGGTGGACAGGTGGGGCAGTGGGCAGTGCCAGGTCACCCCCAGCCTTAACCTCCAGACTCTGTCACACCACTGCCTCTTGGCTGTGACAGAAAGACAGCCCGCTGTCAAAGCACTGAGGTGGTCTATGTGAAAAGCCACAGTTCCAAAGGGAAGGGCCCAAAGATCATATGAAGTACGGTCCAGCTTCAAGATGGCGGCCACTGGGGTGGGCCACTGGGGTGGAAAGCCTGGCATCTCACGTGCTCTTTCCCAGCACCCTGCCTGGGGGACCGCCACCCGCACATAGAAGGTGACAGCCCGCAGAGGCATGAAGGAAGGGTGCCAACCTGACTCATCGTGTCCTCTTAGGTAGCTCAATCCTGGTTGCTCATGACAGGTGATACATTTCAAATCTCCATGAGATGCTGGCCACCCTGAAAATCTTAGTTCCATCAGGGAATAATCACACCTGGGCCTTTGGAATAAGCTTATGTGATTTAAATAAATTCAATGTTTATAGAGACTGAGCATTTGAGTTTTCCAGACTATGTTAAGGGGGAAAAAAAGTCCATGAACACTTTGTATGACCACTCTGATGGACATAACAATATGTGCCCCATCTTCTCCAATGATGGTCCTGGCCTCCAGCTTACAGTGAGGGGAATTCTGAGTAAAAGAAGGAGACACCTTCTTCCCATGCATTTCTCAACTGTGCTCGGCTTCTGGTAAAGATCCCAGACTGTCCCCCTTCAGCGGCCCCCGTGGAAGTTCCTGCCCCTGTGGCTGTGGGGTCACACAGTGTTGAGGAGAGAGTGACACAAACTCCCAGGGCTTTGGAGAAAAGCCACAGAGCCTTGTCATGCATTCGGCAAATGAAAATCAAAACTAAAGGCCCATTTTAGTTTGAGCGTGCGCTATTCCTTCAACCCATGGGACCATCAGGCCTCTGGGCAGGCTTCCCAGCCTGTGAGCTAATGCACACTTAGGACATATATTTTTAGTAGTTACCTGTGCAGAAAATAATCCAGAAAGAGAATGTGCTACCCACCCCCAAGCTCAGATCATGTATCCCAAGGCAAATATAAATTCTGAGTTTATTTGTATCTATGCTTTTTTCCCCCACCACAATGTTGAGTGAAATGGTTCTGATAACCACATGGGATGACTGCTTTTGGCAAGCTCGATGTATTCATCTTTCCCTCCATAGCCTTTGCGTCTGAAGCCGAGCTGAACCGAGTCCAGGCCACACCCAGCAGGGTCAGGTGCCGTAAAACAAGTAGAATGGAATTGTGTCTGCTTGTCCTGGATGAGGCAGCATGCAAAGGCTGGCTTGGCCCTTGGAGAATGTAAGCAAATGGGCAGGTGACAGGCCATCAGCCCCCTGACTGATAATACAGCAGACAACCTGGGACAGCTAAAACCAGGCGCAGCTGTCCTACAGCACTGATCTTCTCCCCCATGGCCTGTGTGAGGCCCAGAGATGCTCAGGTGTTTCCCCTTAGCCAAATTAGTGTATGGAACTGGATCGACAGGAGTGTGAAGGCTGTGATCCCAAAAGACTGGAAAGACAGGAGATCAAACATTCACGGCAGAGCGAAGGGAACACAATTTGCCTTCCAAAGGAGGTTAGGGAAAAGCACTGATTTGACTGCCATGCACATGGAGTACAGGCCCCAGTTGTGAGACTGCAGGCAGGCAGCCTCTGAAAGGACTCGGTTTCTCTTCCTGTTTGAAGACTCGCTTGTCCTTCCAGTTCCCCCATTCCAGATCTGACAGCACTGGGGAGGTAACAAAACTTGAACCAGGTAATTTTCTGCTCACATGAAATGCTTGTGGGTATTTTACCACTCTGAGCAGTGGTAAAATTGGAAATATTAGATTACATTTGAGAGCCAGAAATCCATTTTCCAGACACTATAAGATTTGGGGCCACATGGAACCTTCGGAAGATACATCGGCTAGGGAGGCCCTTCAGGAGGCTGACTTCCATCAGACTCGGCCATTACTCCTAATTTGATCTTAGTGCTCCCAGAATCCCTTCTGCTATTCAACTAGCTGTTTTCTCTCCTCCCAATCCTCTGAAACCCATGTCACTAAAGACTAGTGTTTCTAAAGTACAGCCCTGGGGGTCAACTACATCTACATGCTTGAGTGGTTCAAAAACAGATTTCAGAGCTCGGCAGCAGACCAACTGAGTAAAAATGGTGATTTCTGGAACCCCAAAACGATTCCTTAGAAAATTCAGGTGATAATTTTTCAAACTAAAATTTGTGAGCAATCGCACTGGGGCGGAAGTGACAGATGACATGCTCCCTGTCCTGTTTTTCCCCCCATCCTGGGGCTTGAACTCTGGGCCTTGGCTCTGTCCCTGAGCTTCTCTGAGCTTGAGCCACTGGTACCACAGTGCCACTTCCAGCATTTTCTGAATAGCTTATTGGAGATAAGAGCCTCACAGACTTTCCTGCCCAGGCTGGCTTTGAACCATGATCCTCAGATCTCAGCCTCCTGAGTAGCTAGGATTACATATGAGCCACCAGTACCTGGCTCTCTATTTGCATTTTAAGCAATGAAGCAACACACGACAGAAGGGGTGGTATTGGTGGAGATGCACTGTACTCATAACCCAACAGAGGGAACTGTAACCTCTCGGTACAACTACTTAAGAAAAAATTGAATTGAAGCAACACGGTGTGCGGGATGAAACTGCACACAATTGCAATTGGCTTGGAGAGGAATGTGAAGACACCGAGGGCACTGGATCCTTTTAAAATCTCCCACCTGCATTGGAGTCAGGCCTAGAGAGGCCCTGGCCTCCCACACCGAGCCTCAGAATGTAGTCACATTCCAACCTTCATTCTAAGAACTAAGGGAAAAGAGCTGAGTAATTTGATTTTTCAGTTACTTCTTACGCATGCGCTTAAAGATTGTGATTTCGTGACCATCAAGTATATATGGCTTAAGCTGTTAAATTCCACATGATTGAAGTTGACAGGTTTCCCTTTGTAGACTTGTAAGATACTATGGCTGCCAGCTCAGTTTCTTGCTGGCTGCTACTGACCAGAAGCCACACTCTGTGTCTCCACATGTGGCTCTCTGCATGGAGCAGCTCACCACACAGAAACTTAATTTCTCAAAGCCAGCAAGGAAGAGAGAGACTGCTAACAAGGCGGATGCTAGAGCTTCACACAATGTGAGCACACTCATGGAATTATGGCTATCCACCATCTTGGCCATATTCTATCCATTAGAAAGCAAGTCAGAGGTCCTGCCCACCTTCACGGGAAATATCGGGAGCTGAGGGGCACAAGGTTACCCTATGATCTGTCCTCTGTGCACATAATGTACTCTCTCAAATTTTGATGGCAAACACCCTGCATCCATGAGAGGATCACCTGGTCCAGCAAATATGGCGGAGTGGCAGATGAATAGAAGCTGGGTCCCTTGTTGGTGACACTGCTGTCCTTTCTTGGATTTCTAATTTTTGTTAGAATCGAGCCTTCTGTATTTTCATCCTAAATCATTCTCTCGTTAGTGTTAGTGGAGATAAGAATAGCCCAAATAACCAAGAAACCAAGGTAGAATGCTACCACAGATGAAGAGGCCCCAGTGCTGCCTGAGTCCAGTGGGAGGGGAGCTTCCTTCTAGCCATGCAAACAGAAGAAGCTTCGAGAAGAAGGACATCCAGAAGATCAGCTAAGTGTGGCCCAGGGTAGATGGGTGGAGGGATATTCCCAGGGGAGAAGGCAGAGGACAGTGTGAAGGTAAGCATGTCACCCAAGAGAGCTATGTGCCAGTGATTTATGGGAGCCAAAAGAGGAAGTTAAGATGGGGTCAAAAGTCAGGAGTTTAAACGACCTGTTAGGTAATGGGAGGTTGTGTAAGTTTTTTTTTTTTTTTTTTGATTGGGAACAAAATTGGTGAACTTCATCTTGAGAGGAAAGGGATACTTTCCCTTAACACAGCAGATAAGGATAGTGGTATAACCTGACAATGAACTGGACGCGTACAAATATTTGTTTGACAATTCTAGAAGAATTAGAAAATGTAAGTATACCAGTGTGGAAGAAGCAAAGTGTATCCAACAGTTGCCAAGTATACTGAGCCTTGTTTGTCTTAAAAAATTCTACAGGGATGTGTATGCAAGAGAGAGAGCTTTAACTTAAAAAAACAGTTCTACCCAATTTTCAAGAGACAGACAGACATTAAGAATACACAATAAACTAGACTCTCGTGTGAAAATAGGAGTAGACTTTCTTATGAAGGAAAGAATGGTGTATATTTCTAAGACTAGGTCATGTTGAGTGTAGTGATGCACACCTGTAATCCCAGTACTTGTATGCCTGAGACAAAATGATTACAAGGCCAGCTAGGTTTGTCTACACACAGACACAGACACAGACACATACAGACACACACACACACACACACACACACACACACACACACACACGATCAAGCCATGTAATGTATTTCATTATTTCTGGAGAAGGGAGGGGAGGGTGGATAGAAGAAAGGGGTTTTCACTTTTTATTATGTACGTTTTAAGTGATAGCATTTCTCTAGGTAATAGAATTACTGATGCTTTTGAAGATAATGGCTTTGGTCAGATACCCTTAGATCTTACATTATACTCATGATAGACCAGTCAATAGTTCTTAGGTTGTGTATAGTATATTACATATCACAATCAATTTTAAAACATTACCCCCTCCCCCACAAAGAAACCTCATAACCCATTAGCAGTCGCTCACGTCTCCCCCCAAGCCACCCAGGCCAAGGAGCTCAGAGACAGGAACGTGTCATGAACCTGGCTGTCTCACCTTCCCACATCCCTTACTCTCGCGTGCACTACCATCACTTCCCAAAGACCTCTCCTTCACCTACATCTTCCACCCCCTATGTGACTATTGGAAAACCCAAGCGAGCCAAGAAAGGGATTCATATTAGGTATTAGTGAGCATCCTCCTCTATCAAGGACAAAGAAGAAACAAGCTGTAGGGGCCCCAGACCTGTTGCCATGAGGCAGTAAGCCTGGCCCGGCCACTAACTGTACAGCACAGGCAAGAGGGAGTGCTGGAGTTGAATAGGATCCGTTTTGACTCATTCCAGGAGCCAATGGTCTGATCTGTAGAAAGCTTTGGCTGTTCAAGCCTGAAGGGATTTTAGCTCCTGGTTGACTTACAGACTGGGACATTACACAGTGAATAAAAAGATAACAGACTCAGCCAGTGGTGGTACCCAACCCAGGATCCTCCGCCCAAAAGCTGAGGTGGGGGGAGGGATCCCTCCCTTCTCACATCCCTCCCCAAAAGAAACTACCCATAAACATGCAGAGTTTCTAGATGTTTATTTGGCAATACTCAGGAAAAAGGCAGAGCAGGTGTGCTGTCCCCAGCTCCCCTCAGAGTCCCCTTGAGAGAGCATTTATGAGCTGCTTCCTTTCCACTCCCTTCCTTGGCATTTATTGGCTTTTTGATGAATGTTAGAGCAATTTTTCTGTCAACAGCTTCTCATTAGGGGCCT